GTGTTTAAATCTCCTTTTTTTTTTTTTTTAAAGAAACCACTTCAGTAATCTCCTTTCTTAAAAAAAAAAAAAAAAAGAAAATGAGTTCAGGATCCCTTTTTCTAGCAAAAGTTCACTTTTGCTAGAAAATGAGTTCAGGATCCCTGTTCAGTTTGCTATTTTACAATGACATTAGCTGGAGATAGTTGGGTTGTGGCAGGAAGAATAATTAAAATCTCTTATCAAAGCCTGATTCTGGGTTTGACTGGGATCAGGTGATACCCAGCTGGGCAAATTTCTGGAAGTTAATAGAGAGGTTAATTGTTGATTTAATAAATTACAATCTTTCCTTTTGCATCATCACTGTCCTGAGTCTGGTGTGCTCCTCACCCATTGTCTAGAACCTTTTATTCCCTGTTTGGGGTGTAATTAAGGAAGTGTCTCCAGAGTGACAGCTGCTGTTTCCGAGGAGATTTTTTCGGCTCTTAAGTATTTTTTGGGATTTTTAAGCTGTATTCTCTCAGGCTGACAAAAGCATGTGGCCTGTCAGCTGGCACCCCGGTGTGAGCACACAACAACTTGTCCAGAGCCCTGATAGGCTGCAAGGCTTGATTCAGCCTTAAGTAGCTGAAATATTTCCATAATCTATGGAGACATTTTGCTGGGTTTCCTAGCAACAAATGATCCTGTGTGATGTGCAGCATCACGTGGGCCGGGGTGCTTGGTGGCATTGCAAGGCACATCAATTAAAATCATCAGCAAAGGGCTTGTTAGAACATTGAACTTATGTTACAACATTTGAAGCCTGAGAATTCAATAATTCTTTCTTTTTTCAGCACACTTTACTTCATTTGTCTGTGCTGTAGCAAAGAAGCACCAAATTCATCTGCTTTTTAATGACTGTTTTTCCTTTTTTTTTTTTTTTTTCTTCCCCATCAAGGATATCCTGGAGCTCCTGGAGAAGAGAGTAAAGTCAAGGTTCTCCCACAGACAGATATATTTGATGAATTCCTTTGATTTTAAACAATACATTAAGATATTTAAGAAACAGCTTTCTCTTCCTGCTGAGTTTCCCGATGAGTCTTTTGCACAAAAATGGAATAATAATGTTCAGGTACTTTAAGCATTTTATCCTTGATTTTAGGAAAAATTCTAGAGTGAGAGCAGTGTAAAGCTGGTTTACTTCATACACATATTCTTTACCAGTAAAAGTGTAAAGCTTTTACCTAAGACTGGCTGAGTGTGCTATGGAATAAATTAAATTATTATAGAGCATCTTTGCTTATTGAAGTCTGGAGGTAAAGTTGTCACAGGAAAGACCAAAAAGTTGAGGTTGGATATGAAAACTATTGTGAAGTGTAAGCTGAGCTCTTTTAAAAATATATTTACCTGTTATTTTTCCAGGTGAGTGTGAAATGATGAAAAGTGAGTATGAGGTGGTTAAAACATGGCTTTATTGTTTCTTGCAGCATCTCTCAGAGGATAAAACCGTGCAGGACGTGCTGCAGAAGCTCTTCCAGCACACCAAAGACCTGCGCTCGCTGCATTTGCTCCTGGTGTGTATTTGGGTATTCATGAAACACCTCCTTGCAGTAATTCCTGAGCAGCTCTCGAGCTTTTCAGGCCATTTGACTGAGCTTTGCCTGAAACAGCATTTTATTGCACTTGAGCCAGCGCTGGCTCCTTGCAGGCTCTGTCAGCCTGTGCTGTGTCAGTGAGTGGGGTAACTCCAGTTGTGCAGCAGTTACCCTGTGAGGATGGACTGTTCCATTCAGATGGGGCTGAGCTTTTGCTGCTTAACTTTCTCCAAGCCTTCCCATTTATAAAACAAAACTGTAGGTGAAACCTTTTGAAATTGTTTTTTTCTTTCTGAGATTGTTTTTGGTTCCTGGTGGATCCTGACATCTGCTCATATTGAAGCCTGTTTTTTCTACTTGAGCTTCCATCACCACAGAGGAGCTGCAGCTCTCTTGGAGGGTCTTTTTTAAATTTAAGCTGCCTCCCTAATTCTGCTTTTGAACACAGCTCATATAAATGTGCTGACATTTATAGAGGATAAATAACACATATTTAACCACCCTAAACTCTCCCTGTGCTTGTGTCAGTGTGAAAAGCCCCCTGACTGCCCCTGGGCTGTTGTGCCAGCCCAGATGTGTGCCCTCCTGCTCTGGGCTGGCTCCAGCACTCCCAGCTCCTCCTGCAGTGCTCAGAGCCACCCTGAGAACCAGAGCAGAGCCCTCGTGGTGGTGCTCAGGGCACTGGAGTTGGTGACAAGATTGCAGATTATTCCTAGTGCAGGGCAAAATTCTGTGCCTGTGGCTGCAGTGGAGGCCAGGAAAGGAGCTGATGGCAACCAAGAGCCTCCCTGAGAGCAGGGAAGAGCTGAGGCTCAGCTTTCCCCATGTCTGCAGCATGTGCTGAGCTTTTCCTTTGGAAAGAGACCTTTTGTTCTGAATCCAATAAAAGCACGTAATACAGATTCTGGAGGGATGGGATGAGTGAGGAGTTCCTGGACAAACTATGGGAAGAGAAGGTTCTGGGGAGACCTCAGAGCCCTTCCAGTGCCTAAAAGGGCTCCAGGAGGGCTGGAGGGAGACTGGGGACAAGGCATGGAGGGACAGGAGCCAGGGAATGGCTCCCACTGCCAGAGGGCAGGGATGGATGGGAGACTGGGAATTGAGAATTCCTGGCTGGGAGCATGGGCACAGGGTGCCCAGAGCAGCTGTGGCTGCCCCTGGATCCCTGGGAATGTCCAAGGCCAGGCTGGGACAGTGGAAGTGTCCCTGGGCACAAAAGCAGGTTCAGAACAGCTGTAAGTCATTCCTGCAGCAGCCTGTGAGGCCTGATCCATTGCCATGGATATAAACAGGTTCATGAGGATTTATCTCCTGGAATCAGGAGGCTTTAAGGTTTTAAGCCTGGAAAACCTTCCTGGCAAGATGAAATTGAGGTTTTCATCAAAAAAAATGAACTGCAAACCCTGTTTGCAGGGTTTTCAGCGTGAAGCTGCTCTGCGTGTGGGGTGTATCCATTCCTGTTCCAGGGTTCCTCCAGGCAGTCGTGTCCGTTCCCAGCAGTGCAGTGAGCCGTGTGTGTGTTGCAGATGCTGGCTGGCAGCGCAGTGACCGTGCACCACCCCCTGCTCACGGCTGCAGACCTGCAGGAGGCCAGCAGGCAGCACAGCACCGACTCCAAGGCCAACATTGTCCATGGTAAAGCCCAGCTTGTCCCCAGAACTGGTCTGGAAGCAGGGGAGGTGTCGAGTTCCTCCCTGGAATTCTCCAGGTGGAGGAGATGCTGTGTAGGCAGTGTTCCCTGTGGGTGTGAGCTGCTTTGAGTCACACCTGCCTGTGGGTCCAACAATGCCAACTTGGACACTTCCAGTTCTCTCCTTTTTGTGGGAACAGCCCAATCCTGAACATTTCTCCTTCAAATACACAGCAAACAAATGTTCTCTTATCAATCCTCTCCAGTCTCAAGCTGCACCAAGGGAAGTTTAGGTTGGATATTAGGAAAAGTTCTTTACAGAAAGGGTGACAAAGTTCTGGAATGGCTGCCCGGGGAGGTGGTGCAGTCCCCATCCCTGGTGTGTTTAACAAAGCCTGGATGTGGCACTCAATGCCAGGGTTCAGTTGAGGTGCTGGGGCTGGGTTGGACTCCATGATCCTGAAGGTCTCTTCCAACCTGGGCATTCTGTGAATTCTGTAAGATTTTGAATTCTGGAATTCCTTTACATAATAAAGGTACAGAACACCAGTGGGTGAGGCCCAGAGCATATAAAAATAGAGGAATGAACGGAGTGGGTGAACTGGCTGTGCTCAAGGGAAATACTTGGAATTCTTGTCTTTCCCTGCAGGTTTGTCTGTGCTGGAAATCTGCCTCATCATAGCCATGAAACACCTGAACGAGGTCTATGATGGAGAACCCTTCAACTTCCAGATGGTTTACAATGGTGAGAGCAATGCCTGAGCTTCACAAACCCTACCCCACTCACTTCTAACTGCCCCTTTCTTCTCCTGCTGCTGCAGAATTCCAGAAGTTCATCCAGAGGAAGGCACATTCTATGTACAACTTTGAGAAGCCAGTTGTCATGAAGGTGAGACTGAAGCGCATTTTCTTTTGAGTTGTAAAATATTCCAGTTTTAGTTCCAGGGCACAGATTGGCGTGGTCAGACACAGCCCTAGAAGGGAGTGGGGTGTTCTGGGGCAGGAATGGTGTTCCCTTGCAGTGCCCCTTTTCCTTCCCAAGGCCTTTGAGCACCTGCTGCAGCTGGAGCTGGTGAAGCCGCTGGAGCGGCCGTCGGCGCGGGCGCAGCGCGAGTACCTGCTGATGAAGCTGCTGCTGGACAGCAGCCAGATCATGGACGCCCTGCAGGTGTACCCCAACTGCCCCACCGACGTCAAGCAGTGGGCAGCCTCCTCCCTCAGCTGGCTCTGAGCTCCACCAGCCCCGCTGGGATGCTGGGAGCCCCGTCACAGGGAATGTTTACCTGCAGGACGGTGTTTGGATCACTGAATTTTTGGAAGCAGTTTTCTTTGCTGATTCATTTGGGATTTTCTAGGGAGAACGGTGCTGCTGTTCCCTTCCAGCAGCCAGAACTGTGCCTCACTCACTGCCAGGTGCTTTAGCTCAGCTCAGTGCCAACTCCTGCTCTCAGTTCCCACTTGGAGAAATCCAAGCTCTGGGTTTCTCCCTGTGGCTGAGGGCTCTGGATCCTGGCTCAGGCCCTGCTGCCCTCCTGGCTCCCTTCTACAGCCCCATCAGGTCACAGCTCACACTGCACTTTTCCATCTCAAATCTGACCTGACATGGAAAATGTATCCAATTAAATCTTTAATCACAACTGAATTTACTTCATTAAATGTTTAATCCAACAGCCTGCTCCATGCCAAGTACAAGGTAACATCATTCCATACCAAATTTTTTGGAGCAAAACTCAAAGAGTTTGGTTCCAGAGCTGCTGTAGGACCAGCCCCATGTGTTTATTTTAAAATAAAGTTTTCGAAGAAGCATTTGCAAGTCAGAGTAGTCACATTTTTTATTTTCCCGCTGGGGAAGAGGGCAGAGTATACATTTGTATTTGTACAATATTTAACAATCACTTTATTGAGGGCGAGGGGGGTTGGTTGGTTTTTTGGCACCTGCAGAAAAGCAGCAAGTGCCTTTTAACAGTAGTACAACAACCTGTGCCCAAAACACTGACAAATACAAAGAGGAAAGTTAAAGTAATCGCTCACCAAACTCGAGAGGTAACGAAGAGGAGATGGACTGAAAAAAACAAACTGGAGGGAGAAAGCAAAGCAGTCCTGCTGGTTGAGTATCTGAGGTAACAGATGTTCCATCAAGGATGCTACTGGAGTCCTTTTGCCCAGGGACGTGTATTGCAGCTTCCTGTGTTTTGTACCAAGTGTTCCTGATCAACAGAAATGTCTTTAAAAAGGTAAAAAAAGCTGGAAAAGAGGAGAGGAGGTGATGACTGATTGTGGATGCTGATGGGAGCAGGACAAGTCTCAGCACTGGTTACAGGTGAGGTTTGAGAACTGCACCACTGCCGATCCTGGGTCATTCCATGCTCAAGGGGAGTTTGGGAATACCCCAGGAAGGGCAGCTCTGGGGACTTGGGACAGGAACTTGTCACCCTCAACAGTCACAGCTGGTGAGGCCAGGCAGGAAGGGGCCAAGGGCACTGCCCCAGCAATGCCAGAATCCTCCCTAGCACCCCGTTCCCGGATCCTGCCCTCGCTGCTCCCAGCTCACTCACTGAATGCTCTGAAGTGAAACTGGAATTCACTCCCAAGCCCTGGGGCACAGCTGGAGCAGAGCAGAGTGGGGAGATCATTCTGAGCCATTAAAAGCTTCGGGGAGGAGCAGCCTTTCCTCAGGGACGCTACATGATGCTGGTAATCCCAGGAAGCTGGGAGTGGAACAGGAACAGCAGGGATATCCCAAAGGTAGGAGCCAGCCCCGAGCCTGCAGCAGCTCCTTGGGAAGGGTCACGCACAAGGAGGGACTTGGATACAGCTTCAATTTCTGCATCAATTTCCAACGGCACAGAATGAAACCAGCCCGTGGCTCCAGTTCTGCCAGGGAAGGGGCAGAAGCCCCGAGGAGTCCGTGGTGGAATTCGTTCAGAACTCCGCTCCTGTCCTGCTCTGTGTGAAGTTTAATTAAAAGTGGAGCACAATGGAAGCCAAAGGGAAGTGTCCAGCCAAGAGGACTCCACAAACTGGATTTCCTTCCCTTTTCCAATGGCCCCTTGGAGCAGGATCATCGGGCACAGCAGTGCCACAGCCCTGGCTGAACATCAGCCCTTCCTTCCTCCCTCCCTGCCCAGAGCTGGCTCTGCTTCATCCATCACATCCCACTGCTCCCAGGGATGAATTCCCAGATCCAGGTTCCAGCCAGCCTTCAGGAGCTGCCACCTGCTGCTTTCCAGGGACACTGGGATGGACACACGCAGACAAGGACACAGCACACCACGGGCCGCTGCCGGCTCTGCTCTCCAGGGGCTTACAGCATTTATTGTCCTTGGAATTTGGTGTGAAGGATCCAATCAATGCAGTGGGACAGGAATTGGGAGAAGCACTTTGGCACCCAGCTACCAGCCACTGTAATTCCAGCACAAGGCTTGACACCCTGAACTCCAGTGCTGGAGTTGTGAATTTCCATGTTTTCCCTCGTTTTCTGTGAGTCTGTGCTCTGGCCATTGAAATTCCTTTCGTTACCTCGGAATGGTCATTGCATATTGTGAGCAGAACTAGGTTATCCCTGAAATTTGTAACATTTAGGATCTGCAATCTGTGGCTAGAACTTTGTGTGTGACTCCAGGCTCAACCTGTGGCTCACAGGCAGTGAGCTGCACTCCCCTCCCATGGCACCGAGCTTTGAGTGGAGGGAAGCTGCAAATCTCCAAGCAGAGGGTGAGGAATTGGGGGAACTGAGCTTCCTGAGGTGATCCTGAAACAGTGACACAGCCCCCACTGCCTGGCGGGACAGGGAACACGCGGCGACCTCGGCACAAACATAAATAGGAAAAAGACTCTTTTTCAAAAAAAAAAACAACAAGAATTCAGAGCTTTCCAGTGTCACAGCTCAGAGAAAATTAAAAAAAAAAAAAAGTCATGCTTAAGGTTTCAAATATTCCTCAGACACAGCAAACCTAAATAGTATTCAGTTAAATAAATGGATGAGATACTCTGGGAAATGGAGGGAAAAGCTTTCAACTAAAAGAGGAAGGAAAATTTTCTTTCAATAAACAGCACTTTTTCTTTTTTATACACAACAAGCGAGTACAAGAAAAGGCTAAAAACACGGCTCTAGGAATGGCCACTTCCTGGGGGCATGGAGCTTTCCCCTTCTTAAATAACACAGGGCATTGGGAATACATCATTTACAAAACACGGAGCGGTTTATTATTCCAATTAGTGTTGTCAATCATAATTTAGCGAGGTGGAACTGAGGTATACCTGGTTGAGGGAGGTTAAGTAATACTTGGAAGCCTCTTTGCTCTATCCCATTGATTACTCTTGTTTCTGTACACGGAACAGCAGCACACGGAACATTCACAAGCTGTGTCGTAGTCGCATTACAATAGTCATTTTATAAACAACAACGAATGCAATAAAAACGAGTTACCCTTTTTTTTTTTTGTTGTTTTTAAATCTGAAATGAAATGTTTTTGATTTAAAAAAAATAACAGTAGTTCATTTAAAGGAATTAGTCTCTTCTGACAGGGATTAAGAAATCGGATGTCAGTGTTTAAAATTCTCATTAGCCCGTTCAGGTCCGGATTCTTCATTGTAAGTTCCTTATCAGCACGTGAGGGGTTCTCAGTCACGTCCTTCAGGTGTAAGCAGGGAATGCAGAAAGTCTCATGGATCCACGTTGGGGAGGAGGAGGAGGGGAAAACAAAGGATAAACACCTCTTGGTGATGTTCCAGAGAGACTTACCATCCGTTCTTGCCACCCGGAACAGCAGTGACGCCAGCAGTCCGTGCGCTGTAGCAGCTCCAGTGAAGAGTCCTGTGGTCACTTCATGACCAGTGCAACTATCATAGACTGGATTCTTTGGGAGGAAAGTCAACGTTTGTCACCATTGTGACCACAGTCACGATGTCCTCTGTTGTTATAATGTTAGTGAGTTTTTGCATCTGGATGATCCTCTCCTCCACGCAGCCCGCCGACAGCCGCGCCTCGGCGTCGTGATCCCAGCACTCCTCGATGGTCTCGCACAGCATCGCCATTCCCTGCGGGAAAGCAGCCAGGGAAACAGCACACATCAACAAGGGCACTTCGAGGGACACGTGGCAAACGGGAGCCTTGGTGTCCCACAGGATGTGGGGCTGGGGTTGGTGTGAACCTGGAGTGTCCCGTGGGGCCTCAGCTCTGCACTATTGAACAAAAACTGTTCAACAACAGCAGCAGGGGGCAAATCCTTCCCTGCAGTGCTGGAGCCTCCCAGTGTTTTAAAAGGTGAATCCCTCAGGCACCAATTGGGACCGAACTGTAAAGTAACGCCAGGATCTCTTCTTCCACCAAAAACCAGAAAAAACCCCTCACTTTCTACTACTGAAGAAAGAGCAGTCTGAGATGAGGAACCTTTACAGCCCATTTAACTCCTAGTGGAATTTGGAACCCCTCCCAAACCCCAGCGTGATGCACACAACACGGCACGGACAGAACGAGGGATTCACAGTCGGATGGGTCACACTTACAGAATGTTTCTGCCAACACTCCCTTAGGACAGGCCTCTTCTTTTTGTGCACCACAACTTCCTGCATGTCCTCCAGGGAGGGGTGCTGGCCAATCTCCTCCTCGAAAGGCAGCATGTACTCATCCACGGGGCCTGCAGAGGGAAACACCGGTTAAACGGGAAAGGGAAGACTGCCATGCTGGCAACGTCGGCCACAATCAGAACCCAGAGAGGTTTGGTAGGAAGGGATTCCAGCCCCTGCAGTCCCACCCTGCCCGAGCTGGGCCCTCCCAGAAGGGCAGGAGCTGCAGCTGCCCGGGGCAGGGGCACGGGAAGGTCGCTCACCGTCGGCGGCCGTGCAGCGCGAGGCCAGTTCCCAGAGCACCAGGCCCATGGCGTACATGTCTATCCGCAGGAACGCGTCCCTCTGGAAGTTGATAGCACCTTCGAGCACCTCGGGAGCCATGTACCTGCGGGTGCCCACCTGCAAGGGCACCAAAACACCCACGTTTGTGCCCAGAATCACCCCCAGCACGGGCACCACCCCGCCTGCTGCCACATCAAACCCCTGCTTTGTCCCGCATTAAACACGGCCGTGGTTGTTCCTGCATTAGGAATAAATCTTGGAAGTTTCATCACCCAGTTTCTAAATAGAAATTAAATAATTGATAAAATATTATAAAAGTTCTTGTCCAAATTGCCCAGTCGGGATAAAAGGGGGGATAGGCCATGCAAAGAGCCTGAGGGGAGATTCCCATTCACATCCAGGTAACAGCTGGATCATTCCTGGAAATAACTCAGGATTTACCTGTCCATGGGTGTCTCCTGCAGACTTTCCAGCCTCAAACTTTAAAGCTAGACCGAAATCAGCAATACAAGCCGTGAGGTTGTTTTTCAGCAGCACATTCTTGCTTTTGATGTCCCTTTCAAGTTCAAGAAAAAAAAACCCCACAAATTAGAGATAGAACACAAAATACAGTAAAAACTCTAAGGAAAATGGAACAGCAGAAAACAAGGAACATTATGGTATGAAAGGCAAGAAAATGATAAAGAAAATAGATAAGTTAAACAACAAAACAATAATAATAAAACCTTGGGGGGGTGCCCTTGCAGACCTTAATGGGAATAAATGAGACAGTAATTGGAACTGTGATTTTGTGCTTGTTGTTAAAATAAATACAGATGAATGATGGCTGTAGGGATAAATGGAGATGGATAGATGGATGATGCATGTGGGATACATGGAGATACAGAGATGGAATGAAAATTTTGCAATCCAAGCGTGCAGTGACTGCAACTTTTTTTAAATAGCAAGAAACAAAATGCTTGGAAAAAAGTGCCTTGGAGGGGAGATCCAGGAATTCCTGCAGGACCAAGAGGTGGTGATGGGCTGCCTGCAGGATGGCCACGTGTCCCTGCACTCCCAGGGCAGTACCTGTGGGAGATGGCTGGCTTGTGGCCGTCCTTGAGCCCCGGGATGTCCTCGTGCAGGTAGGCCAGGCCCCGCGCCATGGTCTGGGCGATGTGGCACAGCTCGTTCCACGACACCACGTTGGCCTTCAGGAAATCTGTCAGGGAGCCCTGCAGAAAAACAGTCACACACCCAGCTCAGCCTCACTGCTCCAGGGAAAACCTGCAATTCCTGCAATTCGCATGTGTAGGACCTTTGATTGTCCTTCCTTGTGGCCCAACAGCAGTTTCAGAGGGAAATACTCTGAATAAACAGAGATGAAATCATTCAGCACCACAGTTTCAGAGTGAAACACACTCTGAACAGATCTGAAAAGATTTTCAGAGTGAAACACACACAAAATTATTCAACATAAAACTGAATGTATTCTTAATTAATTGTATTTGTGTTTCTTCCTTTTGCTGTCACAATAGAATCGATCTGTATCACTACATTTTTATTCTTATGAGCCAACAAGTGAACCAAAAATAACCCCCCAAAAATCTCTGCAACATGGGAGGTTATGTATTTTAGGCGGGTTTAGATTTGGGATATTAAAATAGACATATTCCAAAAATCCAAAAAAAGGCAGAATCAATTTTTGTTTGTCTCCTAAAACAACTCCTCTGTCAGCAAAACCTGATGACAACTTTCTCAGCTGCCTGAAAACGAACTGCAGTGAATTCACATCCAGTAAAAACCGAGCAGCAAAGCGGGAGCTGCTTCCCATTTCCTTCCTTCAGTGCCCCAGCTGCCCGTGTGTGACCCTGTGTGGGCTGCTGTCCCTGCCCCAGCCAGGCCAGCCCCACCTTCTCGTGGAAGGCGGTGATGAGCCACAGGTCCACGTCGATGCTGGAGCCGCGCTTCTCGGCGCCGATGAACTGCAGGATGTTGTCGTGCTTCATCCCGGGCAGGCTGTAGATCTCGTACTCGTTCTGCCACGACTGCTTGTCCTGCAAGCACAGCAGCACAGGACCAGTTAGCCAGCAAAAAATGGGATATCAGGGGCTGGCCCTGAGGGGAGCTTGCTAACAGAGTTTGGGAATGCTCTGTCAAAAAATACGTGGAGTTTGTTGTGAAGTAATGAGAGCCTGCAGCGTTTATTCTGCAAGGCAGCCCCTGGATCACTGTGAGGGAACAAATTCCTGCACCTCGAGCAGCAGGGGGTGCTTTAATCAATGTAAAACCCATCCCAGTATCACCATCCTGCACCACTCCGTGCTCTCCAAATTCTTCAATCCACTTAATGCAAGCCACGGCTTCGTGAGGGCACTTGCTGGGCAATGAGTGTTATGGCACTTAATTGAGGCATGGTTAATTGGAACAATCACTCCAGGGTTTGCATTTCAGGACATTCCTTCTAAGTACAATTTAATTTGATTATTAACTGGTCAAGAGGTGGGTTAGAGCTGCTTAAAACTACGGATGCTGAGTATTTCTATGATTAGAAACCCACATTTCACAGGGTTTATGCTTCAGTAATGCATTTACTGCAGTAAAACACTTATTTGAAATCACTGAACTCTTCCTGTATCTTTTACACCTCAATGCCATCTCCACTTGGATTTACAGAATTATTGGGCCAAGAAAAGCTGCTTCAATGTGAGGAAAAACCAGGAGCCCCAGGGTTCTGCTCACCTGGATGGGGAATATTTTGACTGCAACGTATTCGTTGAGCAGCTGAGCTTTCCACACACACCCAAATCTCCCCCTGGCTTTGATCTCCAGGAGCTGCAGCGGCTTCAGACCCATCAGGGGAGATGGTGGGGGAGGCCCAGGATCCTGCAATCAGGAGAGACCATTAATTAATGCTGCTTTAATTAATGACATTCATTCACATCATCCCTGAGAGCACTACAGATAGAGGATTGTAGATGGGGGATCACCCAGCCAAACCCCACCGCAGCAAATCCCAAAGACCCAGGGACAAAGCCCAGCCCTGCTGCACGGGATGGGAAATGGGATTGTGAGACTTGGCCAGCAGGGATGTGCCACAGGGAGGGATACACCTGCACAACAGGTGGGACAGCACAGCAGGAGCTGGGAATGGCCTGAGCAGCAGGGAAGGACAGCAGAAATTAGGGAATAATGGAATCAGGTGGGAAAGCACAGCAGAAATTAAGGAATAATGGAGTCAGGTGGGAAAGCAAGGCAGAAATTAGGGAATAATGGAATCAGGTGGGAAAGCACAGCAGAAATTAAGGAATAATAAAATCAGGTGGGAAAGCAAGGCAGAAATTAAGGAATAATGGAATCAGGTGGGAAAGCACAGCAGAAATTAAGGAATAATATGATGAGGTGGGAAAGCATAGCAGAAATTAAGGAATAATGGAATCAGGTGGGAAAGCACAGCAGAAATTAAGGAATAATAAAATCAGGTGGGAAAGCAAGGCAGAAATTAGGGAATAATGGAATCAGGTGGGAAAGCACAGCAGAAATTAAGGAATAATAAAATCAGGTGGGAAAGCAAGGCAGAAATTAGGGAATAATGGAATCAGGTGGGAAAGCACAGCAGAAATTAAGGAATAATATGATGAGGTGGGAAAGCATAGCAGAAATTAGGGAATAATGGAATCAGGTGGGAAAGCACAGCAGAAATTAAGGAATAATAAAATCAGGTGGGAAAGCAAGGCAGAAATTAGGGAATAATGGAATCAGGTGGGAAAGCACAGCAGAAATTAAGGATTAGTCTAATCAGGTGGGAAGAAAGCTCAGCAAAAATTAAGGGCTGTTGTAACCAGGTGGGGAAGCACAGCAGAAATTGAGGGACAAAGATAATCAAGCTTTACTTGTTAGATTTTTAAGAGCTGGAATTGCAATGAGCCCCTTGGATGCACTGAAGGTTTCTGTGTTTATCTGTGGGACCTTTGAGCCCTGCAGATCCACACCTGGGGTCAGCCCCTCCTGGCCCACTTCCCTGCTCCCAGCTTTGCCAGTGGTTCCTGAAATCCCAGCACCCAGAAATGAGCTGGGATGACACTGCAGAGGTGAGCTGGTCCTGTCCTGCAGGATTTGTACAGCTGGAGGTGAGACAGAGCTCCCACAGGGCAATCCATGGACCCACAGCCCCATATCCATAACCCCATCCCCATATCCCACACTACAGCCTGGCACCATTCCCTTCCTGGGAAAAGGGAGGGGGCAGTTTATTGCACAGCCTGGATTCTCTGCTTGGCTGTATCACATCATCTGAACAGAACAAGCAGATTCTCAATTTTATTGCCAAAGCTCTGCTTCCTTCTGGGCTGGCCCTTTCCCTCCAGGTGGGAGTAGCTGTTCCTCTATAAAAACCCCAACAGCCAACCCCAAAGTTTGCAAAAAACCTCCAAAACACCCCCTTTTTCCTCTATTTTCCCCAAAGAGAAAAGTAGTTTTCAAGAGAATGAAAACCACCAGAGGAGTTGCTTCTACAAGAGAGAGGAGAGTGCTCAATAAAGAGTTAAATGCTTGAGCACTTCCATCAAAACCATAAAATCCTGTGCAGGTTAAAGACACATTTTGTGACCAACTGTGGGGTTAAGGACCCTTTACTATGGGGAGAATGGAGACAAGTGCTGAGAATACAAATCATGAGTAGTTTCAGTGCAGGAATCAGCATCCACTCTCTGCTTTCTTATACAACAAATAAATTAAAAAGAGCAAGTTCCAGAGAAAGATTCAGAGCTGAGTAACCTCACTGCACAAATTAATAAGTAGACAAAGAATAAACAGCATTTGAGGTTCAAAATAGAGACAAACTGCAACACTGTTCCCAAAAAGGAGGAAATCCTTTTGTCAGTGTGACATCAACGTTTGCAGCACAGAAAACCAAGTTTGAGAGTGAAGACTTCCCTCCCCTGGTGCCTTTCATTCCATGCCAGAGCCCTCTTGGAATATTCCAGGCACCAGGGAAAGAAAGCAGTGCCCTCAATTTGTAAAATACAAACTGTACTAAATAAATATTTGTAAATCCAGTTTGTTGTTGTTAGAAGAGGAAGTGGGAACAAGATGCTCAAATTTATCCCCCAAAGGCAGCCCTGATTTAATGAACTGTTCAAGTTCAGAACCTCCTGCCTCTGTCTGAAGCAGAGAAATTTGTGGAAAATAATCCCAAATCCCCCTTTGCTCTGGTGGCTTGGATTCCCCTTCCTTCCCACACCCTCCTCCCAATAAACTGCTGGGATTTGGAAGCACTTGGTGCCTGAATTCTTCCCCAACCACCAGGAAAACCAAACACCTCCAAGATTTGCTGATTCCAGTTCCAGCATCTCTGCCAAGAGCTGGAAGTGAAAGTGGCAGGGAAACCTGGTGCTTTCCTAATTCCCCATTAGACCACAACACTTCCCTTACACCAAATTCTCCATTTCCTGGAAATCCCTGGCTCTCCTCACCACATTCCCAGCACCTGCCAAAGCCTTTCCATGTAGGAAGCAGAATTCCTGCTGTTAACACAACTGGAAAGAAAAGCTTTCCTTTCCCCCCCACTCTGATTTTTTCTAAGCATCTTGGTTAAAATCTAACTTCAAACTCTGCAGCTCCAGGGACTGTTTTTACACAGAAACATTCCCTGACAATATTTCCAACTCGCTGCACTCCAAGAAAAATTGTTTGACGTTCCAGAAATGTTCCCCATTATTCCTGTGTGGCTTTGGGGCTGATCTCTGTGGTGCCAAGGTCACAGGGCCAGCAGGGATGGCAGGGGGATACACTGGGCTCCCAGATTTCCCAGCTGTCCAAAAATCCAGGGCCCAACTCCCTTTTCCTGCCCCTTCCCTTGGACTGAGTCACAGGGGGGAAATATTCCTTAAGCAAGGGTGACTTCCAGGAATGGAGTTCCTTAAGTGCCCTCAAAAATGGGTCTGGAGATCAGAGAGCAGCTCAGCAGTTGTGGAACCCAAATCCAAATCCAGCAGCTCCCTGGGTCCCTGACTGGGACAAGGAGGCCAAACATGGACAGGGATCCAAGGAACTCTGGGAACTCTTTACAGAGGTATAGTCAGGAAAATATTCAAATATTTAAATTTTTAATACACTGAAACCATTAGGTTTTCTTCTAAACTGCATTTCCAAGGTATTTCAGGTATTAATTAGAGAACTGTAATGATGTCAGAAATTGAGCATTTTTATTACGCCTCAAATCTCGATGTTTTCAATATTCCATTGAAAAGCTGAGCAGGAATGACCCAATTTGTGAATTAAGGGGTCCCAGTGACTTGGAGTTTAAATATAAATATAAATATAAATATAAATATAAATATAAATATAAATATAAATATCTCCTGAGAAAAGTGGGGAGAATGAAGAGACTGAGTGGTGAAGGAATACTTTTATTTTTCTCCAGATGATCCATTTTTGGGAGTTCCTGCACCACACGAAACCCCAGATGAGCACGTGGAGACCCCGGAGCTGCAGTGGATTTGTCACAGGGGGAGGTGGGAAGGGAGAGCCAAGGACAGGGCACAGTGGGTGGGATGTCCCCTTTGCTTCCAGGGAACCCCAGTGCTGGGCTGAGGGATTCCCTGGCCCTGTGTTCCAGGATCCATCCCAGACTGCACATCTGACCCCACCCCTCAGGAACTCCAGGGAATTTTAGGAGATCCACAAACCACAGGCTAAAACTGCATTTTTAAACCACACATGCTGACAAGATGGCTTGCTCAAAATACTGAGAAATCACAATTTAGAGCAAACAACGTCTCCCACATGCCCAGAAAGCCCCAGAGCCAGGAACAAACATCCTCTTACCTCAATCATTATATGAAAGGCGTGCTTGCAGAGAGGGAAAAAACACAGGCAAGAGAAATTACTATTTACACCAGGAATGGGATGCAAAAACAGCTTACAGGAGACAAAGTCAATTATTTGTGAGTTAATGACAGGAATATTCACGGGGACAGCAAAACTTTCCCACAGCAGAAACACATAATTTAAAGCAGCAAAGAAATCCAGCGTTGTTAGTACAGGAAAATGAGGAAAACAGGATTATTCTATAGAAAATTAACGGAATTGTTTTCTAATTACAGCGAGAAGCGTCCATTGCAGGTGTATAGAGCCGTGCTACTGCAACCAGCACAGAGACACGAGGAACGTGGAACTTCCGAAGGTGAAATTCCAGAGCCCCGGGATGAGACCCTTCCCTGCAGCGCCCCCGCTGCCCGCCAGGGGGCGGCGCCGCACCAGGGAAATCCCGAGCCCGGGAATGGAACCGCCAAGGGCCCGCCTGGAACCGAGCCTGATCGATGGGCGGCACCGAGCCTGATCAGTGAATGGCACCGAGCCTGATCGATGGGCGGCACCGAGCCTGATCAATGAACGGCACCGAGCCTGATCAGTGAGCGGCACCGAGCCTGATCGATGGGCGGCACCGAACCTGATCAGTGAATGGCACCGAGCCTGATCGATGGGCAGCACCGAGCCTGATCGATGGACGGCACCGAGCCTGATCGAGGGACGGCACCGAACCCAATCAGTGAACGGCACCGAACCTGATCAATCGATGGCACCGAGCCTGATCAATGAGCAGCACCGAGCCTGATCAGTGAACGGCACCGAGCCCGATCAGTGAGCGGCACCAAGCCTGATCGATGAGCGGCACCAAGCCCGATCAATGAGCGGCACCAAGCCCGATCAATGAGCGGCACCGAGCCCGATCAATGAGCGGCACCGAGCCTGATCGATGGACGGCACCGAACCCGATCAGTGAATGGCACCTTGGACCTGGGCTCCAGCACTGAACCTGATCAATACATCCACAAAGAGCGGGGAACTCCAACCCTCTGCACCCAGCAGATACTGATAAATCCCAGTATTGAAGATTCCTCCAAACAATCCCAGGAGTAGTTCACAGTGTGGAACAAAATCCAGGACAAAGCCACGTCCCAGGATTGCAGTGACCCCCTTGTCTGTGCTGCTTTCATCCCTCTCCCTGAACAACCTCAGCGGAGATGGCTCCATTCCTCCTCCTCCACTTTGGACTGGAGGCCCCGGCACAGCATTCCCAGAGAAGCTGGGGCTGCCCCTGCATCCTTGGGAGTGTCCCAGGCCAGGCTGGACAAGCCTGGAATGGTGGAAGGTGTCCCTGGGGTGGTGGAAGGTGTCCCTGGAATAGTGGAAGGTTCCTTGGAATAGTGGAAGGTGTCCCCGGGGCACTGGAAGGTCTCTCTGCCCAGGACAGGGGTGGGATGGGATGAGTTTTGAGTTTCCATCCAACCCAAACTATTCCAGAATTCTGTGACTCTTTCACCTGATCCATCTCCTTTGTCCTTTATAATGGGATGGATGTTGGAAGAGAGGGAATCCAAGCCCCTGTCTCCAGCTGCCATTCTCCTCTCCCCCTCTGCCTTCACACCCCTGGAGCATGGGGCCAACAGGAGCCTTTCCCTGTGCCTGGAGAGTGCTGAGCACACACTCCCCTTTCTCCAAATAATTCATACCAGATTAATAGCAAGAATTAATCCAGGAGGATTTATTCCATAAACCTGTAAGAGAACTCAGAGCACTGGGATCCGGCAGAATTCTCCTCCACCACTGTTCAGGGCAGCTCCAGAGCAGAGCAAAACCCACCCCAAGGGCCTGAAAGTATTTTTTTTTCCAGGCCTATTCATTATTAAAGTTCTCCAGCTCTGGAGAATTATGGAAATTCCTCAGCAATAAGCAGAAATATGTATGAATTCAACCTTTGTGCTCTGACCATAATGAGAAACTGCAAACATGAAGCTCTGAGAAATGAGCCCTGTCCCAAACCTCTCACTCCTCCCTCGAGGGATCAGCTTCCCCCAAACTCTGATAAATTCCACACACATGGAAACTTTACAAGGATGTATTTATGCTCATTAACACCTCTGGATTATAAACCAGTGTCCTCCCCTTCAGCCCACAGAGCATCACCTCAGGCTCCCAGCAGAAATCCAAGAGGCACCAAGAGTTAAAGGGTATCAGGCTACAAAAGAAATGCAAATCTGAGATTTATGTCAGGAATTACCTCTGATAAACAAAAACTGGGAGCAGTTAACCCCCCTCAGAACCCCTGTCACCCACACAAATGTACATAAACACACTCACTGCTGTTTATGCTGCCTGAAAACCAACTCTAATGGGTCTGTTACAATATTTGGAACCAATTAAACCAATAAAACCCTAAGCAGTGTGGGTTTTTCCCAAAATTTGGGTTACCCACAACCATTTTCTGATCTGTAAAAGCTGCTCTTGGCTTTTGGGTGTTTTCACACAGATTCTTCCCTCTGTTACAGATTTTAACTTGCACCAGCCCATGCATTCTATTAAGAAAAAAAAGAAAAAAAAAAAAGCCAGTTCCAAGTTCCTCAGCCACTGCACATTCAGGGATCCTGATTTGCAGTAACTTTCCAATTCCTTTTCCCATTTCCTATAAGCACCTGGCTTCTCCCTGTGTGTGTTTTTCAAGTAGCCATTAATCTTCCCAGGTTTGGATTCAATCCTTGAAAAAAAATCACCTCTGCCTTGCATTTTTCTAGTGTTGAAATGTTTCTATTAAATTATCTCTAACAACAAGAAAAAAAAAAAAAAGTGGTTTTTGGAAGACCAAAATGGGAAAAACCTGAACAGCTGATTTAGTTCATTCTTCAGCAGGAAATTGGGGTTTTCCGAAGGTGGAAAGATCATCCCAGAAATTTCAAGTGCGTCAGGTAGATTTAGGAATTCCTGTGGTCAGAAATTCAAACCCTGATGCATCTTTGACCCCAGAGAGTTCAACCACTTCAGAAGAAATCCCCAAAGCAGGTCACAAAGACATGGAGTGAATCTGCAAAGCCTTTTCTCAAGCCTCTCAACACAATCATTACTTCCAAACCAACCCAAAGCCAAAAAAGCAGCTGTGGTGCAGTGAAATCCTGCCAAGCTGGGCACCCAGGGAAGTGCAAGGGGTGAAGGATTCCCTGCTCAGGGGGCTGGGACATGGGGGGAGCTGCCAAAGCCGAGTGGGGCTGGTGGCAGCTCTGTGGGAGGGTAACAGTGGCACCCATCAGCTGCCAGGGTGAGGACAGCCCCTTGGAACGTGCACTGACAGCTCTGGCCCCAGCTCAAGGCTTGTCAGGAGCAAGGGAGAACAAGAGAGCAGCTCCCTGCCATCCTCACTGCAGATTTACTGGGAATGTTTGGGGAGAAACCTGGGTCACACCTAACTCCAGACCCAGTGTCCCCCAGTGAAAAGGAACCAGGTGCCAGCACCTCCTTCTGCAGAAAACTGCACGCATTCAAATATTAAAAATATCAATCTGATTCTTTGGGTGAATTTTATCAGATGATGGATTTATGTTTGCTAAAGCAAACAGAAATAAGGAGACAGAACAGCTCCTAAGTGTTTTCCATACACACAGATGTATTCAGCAAACATGGATTTGTTAATAACTCACTGCAGAGCACAGAAAGTGACAGATCTGATGGAATTTGACAGCTTTCACTGGATACTTCCCCACACAGCAGTGAGGCACAGCGAGCAGCACAAACAAGCCAAGACTAATTGTCCTTTATGTCTCTTTACAGGTTCAAGCATTTCTTACAGTGTATGTCCTGCTTTTTTTTCTTTTTAAATATTCCAAACTATTTCTTTCCCTTTGCTTTCTAATCTTTTACTTATCACCAAATTCTTTCACCATTTCTCACTCTTCATTTTTATCTTTTGCTTATTTTTCTTCATTTTTATCTTTTGCTTATTCCTCATCCATCCTTTCATTTTTTCCTGGAACTTTGGTACCAGCTCAGTATTCTCACTGTTTCTGGGAATAAACCAAGGAAAAAGGGATAACTTTTATCTGGCTCTCACATGGAGAATCTCTGTTTTTCCTGCTGTACATCCAACCCGTTCATTCTACCACTGCTACACAAAGAAATAAACCAAATCCACTTGCCTACAAACTCCACTCATGCCCCAGTTATTAAATATACTATTAACAGATTAATTGCACAAATATTTCAGAGTTTATTCGTGGTTATAAAGTTCCCAATGCTTTCCCTCCCTTCCTGCTTCCCCTGTCTCCTGTTCCAACCAGCTGTAATTAAATTTCAAGTGGGAACCACTGCTCTGCTGCATAAGGGAGAGTGTTTATACATTGGATTTACATAATAATTCTGGGTAGTTTTTCAGGCACAAGTGGCTTTTCCTGACTTTCCACATGAGCCTTAATGCCTGTTCACCACAAGATAGGAAAATGTTGTTGCCCCACAAGCACCAAGGTGCATTTATCCCAAAGATACAATCTCAGCATAAACACAACAGCTGATTATCCTATTTATTAAAAATTTAGGTGTCAATCCTGTCCCAAACACAATCCAAGGACAAAACTGCAGCAAAAGGAGGGAGAATCAGAATTCAAGTTCTTGATACCTCACGCGTATTTAACAGTCACTTGATTATCCATGGCTTTATCCAAGAGTTAATTTCTTCAGGAAGTCAAACCCAGGCTGGAATTATCCCCACAATTAGCAGTTATGAATTTGATCTCCCAGCAAAGACCACTGGGTTGATGTAAAGTCCCAAATCCATAAAATGGGAGCTGGATGAACTAATTATGCTGACAGATTGCAGGGAGTCTGAGGAGCTGCAATCCTCTCTGCAAGGACAGCAAACAGACTTTTTTCCTCTAAATTATGTTCTTTTCATTTGGCAACAACATATGGCCACTGCCTCTCCCCAAATTCCTCTTATCTATTACTGAGAAACTGAAACCAAAACACTTGAGCTATCAACCCCAGGCAATGCTGCTTCCTGCAGCACCCTCCTGTCAAGCAGCAGCACTGGAAATATCCCAGGAGCTGGAGCACACAGAGATCAATCCTTGGCAATCCTACCCAAAATAACTAGAGTTTTCATTTTAATCATAAATAACATCACTGCAGGACAGGTCATGTATTCTGGTCACTGCACTGGGTGAGAAGCCCAAGTTAATTCCTACTGTAAAAATCCAAATCATTTCTCTCTTTGTTTCCACAACCACATTTTCTTCATCTTTTACTGCTTTGGTCTCTAGAATTTCCTGCTTAAACCCTTTCCATAAAAGCCTCCTAATCTCAGTTGGATCTCCAGACGTAACTGAAGGAAGAGGAATTCTGTGTTAGCACCAATTACAGCTCCTGGATCAGCTGGAGCCTCCCAACAGCAGGAATTCCACACACAAGAGCCCCAGAAGGTTTTTCTGGGTGCACAATGGCCAGGTTACATTCAGGTGTGGAGCCCACAACCTCATCCTTTTGACATAAGACACAAACACCCCTAAAACTGAAATGTTTCACGACAAAACAGAAAATACGTAAACAAGAGGAAAAAGATGACAAGAATCACAAGGCATGAGCTGAGCTATGAAGATTTTAACATTCCCTACACCTGTATCCCAGTTTCAGGCTTCCTTATAAACAGCTCATCCTCTCTTAGCTGCTATTTTCTGAACCCCTCAAATGGCCAAGTTGAAGTGGCAACTCTTTTTTTGTTTCCAGCTAAGCATTACAGCTCAGCCTTCAGCATGCCTTCGCTGTGTCCTTGCCCTCTGTGTTCAGTTTTTTTCCTCCCAAACAAAGAGATGCATAAAAACATGAAGTAGTTGTTCATCTATTCATCAAAGAATAATTAATAAGGCTGTTTAAGTAAAGCTTAATTCTCTGCTTTAGGGGACAGCAAGCGTTAGGACCTCGAAATCAGGAGGGGAACAGAGAGACCAGCCATGAGACAGATCCCCTTCAGGAATGGTTTGGCCCTTAAAAAACCCCAAATCCTGCAGCAGGGGCTCACCTGGGTGGGAACAAGCACGGGAGGATAGGCCAGCTTGTGATGTCTGTACATCCAGAAGGAGAAGAGCACGATGACTGCAATTCCCATGATAGGCACCAAGGAGTAGAGCAAGGTGTTGAACAGAGGTGGCTTCGGTGTAACAGGATTGGAAGTTGCTGAAGGGAAAAGAAAAAAGACACAGCTTTTAAGCAACAAAACCAGGCAGTGTTTGAAATGTGCAGCAGTCTGATTTTCTAACAGCTGCTGCCATCATCACAGCAGGCTCCCAGTACCTGATTAGCCAGCACAAACTAACACCTGGGTAAAAGGCAGCACTTTGGAAAGCAGGGCAATAACTCAGATCCCAGAGCCACGCTCAGCATGGTGGAATTCTGGGCCTCCAACCCCCAGCAGCCTACAGGGGGTGTTTGTACTCCCAGGGGATTGCAAGAATTCATCACCTAATGAACTAAAACCAATCAATACAGAGATTTGGCAACAACCTGCCAGCACTTCTGTGCCTGGCTGGAAGGAGGAGTTCTCCAGGTGAGGACATTTCCACATGACCTCAGAAAAGGCTCTGCAGAAGCAGGAGCTGCTTGCAAGGCAGCCCCCTGGGGCAAGAGAGGGCTCAGGAGAGGGAAGAATGTCAATTATTGCCTTAGCAGCATCACTGACAAAAATGACAACAATATCTCCTGGGTCAACAAAAGCTATTTTAATCTTGCAGAAAATGTTCTTTCATTTCACGAACAACTTCCTCTGGCTACTTGCTACATGAGACATTTGCTGGTTTCAGCTCAGTTATTAACATCACTTGGTTTTCCAGCAGATTCCTGACTGGAAGAAGATAGGCAAGGAAAATCAAATCACCTTTCAGCTAGTTTTTTTTTAAATAATTATTTGTTAATTCTGGCTAATTTAATTGTCTTTCAGAAACACAGAATATGCGTACTGGAAGAACCCACAAGGACCTTGTGATCTGGGAGTAAATTCTTTTCCCCTTTTTAGAGGATGTTACTGTGTGCATTTACAGAGAAATTCTAAAGGTCCAGGTGGGATAAAGAGAAGAAAGAAAAGGAACCTTTTCTGTTTCTTTTCTGCTTTTTTGAAGAAAAGGAACATCCCCAGGCTGGCACAGGGATAGAGGGATGAGAAAGCTTTTGGCCCAAAAATTTACATCCTTAGAGGAGCTTAACCATGTAATGAAGGTAAGATTTGACAGTAACTTCTGTATCTTAAACCAGGCAATTATTTCAGGTTACCCTTCCTTCCCACCCTTGGAAAGAGCTGAAGTACCTTTTATTAATTTTACAGGAAAGCACTTTTCCAAGTGGAATAAATGAACTAGCACTGCACAGAGCTCTACCAGAACCCTGTGGCAGGAAAGGCAGGACTTTTGGGCAAGTGTGACCTGCTGAAAAAGCAGGATGTGGAACACTGCTGTCAGGAGGAACTTACGCTGCGTGACCTCCATCTCCGGGAAGTAGAAGAAGCGCTCGTTGCACATGTTGCCCTCACAGCAACAGAAAAACACCTCAGGGCTGTCCTTCTTCTCTATGCAATCGTTCCTGCAAGAGAGAAGGGGAAAAAGTTCATTCATCTTGAGCTGGGTTGTCTTTGTTCAGGAAAAAATATGTGCCCAGCTTTCAGATTTCCAAGGTGAACTTTGTTAAATTGACCGTGACCAAAATAACAGCTAAACTTAATGAAATAAAATAAATTTTGGTATTTTATATTGCAATGGAGAGTTATTACAACAGAAACACATTTTTGTCATTTTTAAGACAAAGTTAAAGAAAACCACCACCAGAATGAGGAACAGTTCACAAGCTAGATTTAAACAGGACAAGCAAGTGATCAAACAAAGCTGGAGATAAGTGAGAAGGAGAATTTTTAAATTTTATTGTACTTGTAGAAAGAAATGACAAAATTTCTACAATCTCCTCTGCCTACATTATGCTCAGGGACAGGGCTTATTTCATTCCCTGAATTAACTGCAGGAATGGATTTTTTATTAATATTCTGCTAACAAATAAGCTGAAACTATTCCATCAGGAAAGAAAAAGCAGCAATCAGGAGCCAACCTGACAGCAGAACTGGAAAAGGCTGAAGAAAAATTGCAAGATTTTAAACACAGCTGAAGATTGTCAAGGAGGTTTTGGGCTCAACTTCAAAACTTGGGGTTATTCCCTAGAGCCAGCTCTGGCTGTCACCCTGTCCTGTGACTTCCAGGGGACATTTTCTCTTTGATGTCCTGAATCTGCTGTGTTTGGAGTCACCCCCGCAGCTCCCAGAGCAGCAGAAGCACCCCACGCTCCAGAGATAAGATTTTGGACAAACACAGCACTGGCTGTGATTAGCACAAGTCACTTAATGAGGACTTACAGTTACTTAGTTTCCTACTCCTTCCTTACTGTCCTTCTTGCATTTCATTTCTTCTTCCAATTTCTTTTCTTTGCTCAAGGAAGAATTTAATCTCATGATTTCAGGATTTTTTTTAAATTGTGGGACTGAGCTTTAAACTGCCATTAAAGCAGAAAACAGTCTGGGCTGGGAGACAACTTGATTTGGGAGAAAGAAATGCAAGGCTTTCTTCTAAAAATTCAACTTTAAAGAAATACAAAGGAAGACTTCTGTAAAAATTACTGAAGTAATTCCTCAATACTTTTTAATGATGATCCACTGTGGATCTATTTCTTAATTCTCTGCCTTCCCAAATAATAAATGTTTTGGGCCAATAAAACCCAGTACAGTATTTAAAAAGCTGCAACACCATTGCTTAAGAGAGTCATGACCTTTATTCAGTCAGCATCTAACAAACCCCAAGTCCTGCTGTTACTGCTTGTGGGTTCTTTCTGGACCATCTGTTATCAACAAAATAACTGGAAATTTAGAATATTCTTAGAGCTGCCATTGAGCTTATTAATAAACTGCCAAAATACTTCCATGATCTGGTAAATTGCAGACACAAAGTGCTGACTTTCCAACTCTAAAGACTTCGGAAAAATCAACGAGAGAATTTTACATCCTGGTTGCAAGAATTATATTTGCACTTTTTGGCAATAACAAGGCACTACAGAATCTATTATTAATGGACTAAAAAAGAATAAATTAAATACCTGGGTTCATTTAAAACATGTTATTCTGCAAACAAGACAATGTACTCACATGGAATCTGGTCCCTAAATGCAAGAGAGCATCTGAAAATAAGATAATTACTCACAGACTCACTGGTTGTGGAGTTGATGATGTAGAAATTATGGAGAGGCAAAAGAGTCTACAGTGACCAATCAATTTCAAAAATTCCTAGGAAAACTCACCTGTCATAACAATTGATGTCATCCAGCCAGCAGCCTTGCTTCACAATTTCAATTGATCCAGAAATATTCTTCCATGTAGCAAAGCAGTGTCTCCTTTTATCTTTATCACCATAGCAGGGCTCGATCCCACTGCGGTTGGTTTTATCCTTCTCCCAGTTAGCGTTGTAGTAGATGCACTCCTGTGTTTCTGATCTGCCCAGGATGGCACCTGGGAGGGATGGGAAGCACAATTCAATGGAATTCTGCAGGATCAGGCATATGAATAAATGCAGGTTGTACAAAATATCATTTACTGCACGTACCAATGTGCCCTCTCTCCCCTCTTTTTAATAAAGAGAGAAAACACGGAAAGTTCAGCAGCATTCCAAGTGTTGAAACATAAAACAAAGATCTTCTGTGAAGTCAAACAGTGACTTGCATAACTTAGCAAGATTTGCAGAAATGAAGAACAAGTCATGGCAATACTTCTCCATGAATAGCAATAGCAGAGAAAATTTAGAATGCTGAGCAGGGAAGATTTAATTAAAATATTCGCCAAACCAGGAGCTTTAGCCAGGAAAATTCACCAAAAGGCATTTGTGCTTCTTATCTTGTTACAGGAGCCAAAAGAGCAGGGAGTTCATCTCAGAAACCCCCCAAAAGCCAAGAAGTGCTATGGGGCAAGTGTTAGAGAGTCCCAGAATGGTGTGGGTTGGAAAGGACCTTAAAGACCATTTAGGGACCATCTAGGAAACCTTTCTGGGATTCTGGTGGAGATCCCTTCAGAGTTAATGGGATGTAAAGCACCAGCCTGGCTCCTGCAAAGGTGAAGGGCTGTTGGGAAGCAAGACTGTTAACAGAAGACAGGGAGGGAGCAAGAACTGCCTTTTATTTCTGTTTTTGCTCTTGTCAGACACTGCCCAGAGCGTGCCATTAATCTCCATGGGAGCTCCAACCTTTAACATATATTAAAACCATGGGAGAATGGAGATGGAGGAGCTGGAGAACCAGAGGATCCACTGAGGAAGGCTCAGGAGGATGCCAAAGCACTTTGCCTGTATTTATCTATACATTCAGAATTTTTAAGACATTACATTGCCCAGCACGCTGAAGACCAGACTGGAAGAGAAAAGGTTTCCCACGGCAGTTTTTGACGTATTTATTTGCATCACTCACTACCTCCTTTATCCACAACAAATGTGACCCAGCAGCCATTCCTGAGGAGAATGAGGATTATTCCCACCTGAGCCTTGGGAGAGCAGCACAGGAAGACAGAGAAGAGCCCAGCACTGCCCATCCTGAGCATCCCACCTTGCTCTGCCCAAAGTTCTGCCTGTGTTCCCAAAATAGGCAGGAGCTGGAGGATCAATGGGAGAGGGGCAGGAGCCAGCTGGGAACGCTGTGAGGGGCAGCCTGGGAACCATTAAATTCCTTGTGCTGCCACGGCCTGACCTTTACAGCTCTCAGCTATGGCAAGAAACAGATGAGGCAACAGATTGAACAATTTGGTTCTGTCAGTGCAATAAAGCAGAAGTCCTGGATTTTTCTCACACGTGCCATTGCTTTTCTCCTGCTGCCAAGCCCGGCTTTGAAGGACCACAGACAAGCTGAAATTTATAAAATTCAGCGACTGCAGTAAAACTAACTTTGAATAAATATTCTCCTTGTTCCTGTCTTCTTTTTAGTCGGGTTTTCTTATCCATCTATTTTTGAATCCATTAATGCTCCAATCAGTGACTGGCAGCAGTTTGGTTCAATGACCTTGGATCTGGCTGGGGCTTCTCACCTGAGCGGGCACCTGCAATGGGTCTGGCCAGACTAACCCAGGCTTGGGCAGAGCAGCACAATCCTGGATTAATCCTTCAAAACAGAAAAGCAGGAACGTGGTGGAAGCAAGGCAAGAGGAGAAGGGGAACCACACAAAGAAGATAGCCCTGAGCCCATCTGCTTCCAAGCAGCTCTGCCACCCCCTCCACAGGGATGGAGCTCCCAGGGGACAAGGGCAGCTGGCATTTACAATAAAGTGAATTTATTAGGCAGAGCAGGTCTCTAATGGAACTGCTGTACCCATTCTGAGTGCACAGGGAATTGTCAGGTCCTCAGAAACAAATTCCTGAATCTCAAAAAGCAAAATGGTGCTGCTGAAAGAAGCCACGAACCAACTCCAGCAGTGTCCTGTGGATGGAACATGAGGTCTGAAAACTTGGGGGGAAAACACGTTGGGAAAGCAAAGGGCATTAAGTACAGAACTGAGTTTAGTTTGGGCACATTAAGCCAGATCCCATTGGATACCTGTGTATTCCCATCTCAGCGCTGCTCTATCCCTCACACTCCTGTCCCTCCACCACAGCTGCACTGGGGGAACAAAACCAACATTTGAACTTCTGAACCACTCTTAATGCAGGAAACAGCAGAACTGGGAGCAATTCCATCAGACAGTTCAAGTGCAGCCTGGAAAACCTCACCTCAGGAGGAGCTGGAAGCACTGCCTGCCATTTCTCAAACAGTGAGACTGAATGACTGAAAAAATCTACCAGTTTTTTAATTAAAAAGGGGCAAACAGTGTACAGCTCCTAAGGACTAACATGGCCTTAGTTCAGGATGGATCACTGGGAAAAGGTGCTGGATGGAATAGGAATTGTCTCTTACAGGTATCACTAAAAAAAAACCAGGACAGACTCCTGGGAGTTCATCATCCAACTTCTTGCACCAAACCTAACACAGAGCAATACAAGCCCATGGGTCTGTACTGCAGGAATGGTTTCCTGATACTTTATCTGAGATGTGATAATGATCACGTCCCTCCCCTTCCAGGGAAGACTTCAACACTTCCCACGTCCTACCCTCATTCCAAACCCTGCTCTTGCTGCGTGATTAGTTGGTGACACCATGGAAAGACACAAAGGGCAAAGGGAACTGAATCTGTGATCTCTCACTGCTTTACGAAATGTAACAACATTTTCTAGCTGAAGTCATGAAAATTGATGAAAAGCCTGCAAAGATTAGTTTAATGGTGCCAAGGACAGGTTTTTTTGCTATTCCCTAGAAAACTTACAATATAGAAAAGAACTGAAGGGTGAGGTTCAGTCTGGCAGATACCTCTGCCTGTAACAGAAAGGTTACTTAAATAGTGTTATATTTGAGATGAATTTGAACTCTTTAAGTACTAAAATATAAGGAATGGAGCAGTTTATTAGAATAAACCAGCAGAGCAGAGAAGCACCACAGGGACTGAGTAATTTATAGATAGAATGGCCCATTCACCAAAATACCAGAATTGTAACACACTGTTCTAGAGGAGCAGAAAAGAACAGAAAATGCAGCATAAATAGAATTAACACCTTAGACAAAAAACCTTCAGTTGCTGCACAGGTACCTTTTTCAAGTACTTGCCCATGTGTGTTATTCTATTTGTTTCCACAGTGATCTCCAACACTTCCTAGCCCTACAAATATATCTAAGAACAGACTACAAATATAGACTAAAAAAGCCTAGCTTTGATGTTCCTGCGAGCAGGAAGCAGGGTTTTATCATTCTCTATTTTTTCTGATAACACCCAGGGGAATGTTTCTCAAAGGAAGAAGAAAGAAGTTATTTCCAACCTAATAAAGCAAACTGAGTTCCAAGAGAAAGGATTCTGTCCTCCTTTTACATGCCACGATGTCCCCAAACTTATTTTGTTGATTTTTAGACTAATATTAGTGCTATTATCACTGTTCTCAATGCTCCCAGGTCAAACAAGGACTGTACTTCAGATGAGCTGAGCCAAAGTACATTCATTAAATCCAAACACAGCAGCAATTAACTCAGGCAAGGCAAGAACTGCAAAAAAGATAAACAAGGCAGTGAAGTAACAAATCACCTGCACTGCTGCCATCCTGCCCTGCGAATATTCAAAATTTAAAGATTAACATGATGGTCCAGAAAGCTGCTTTATTTTTCTAAAATAGTCTTTAAAAATAAATGAGTTTGCAACTTGAACAGGGGTAAACTTGGTAAGCTTTAGTGTAGTTTTGTATAGCAAGAGCTGCATTTTTCTCTAGGATTGGAGTGGGGGGAGCAACAGGAAATCTGTATTTGCTAAGATATCTCATCATATACTTGGAAAATATTTCAATTTTTTTGCAGTTCACACCTTTTCAAAATGGAAAATTTGTAGGGATGAGCCTGCCATGGAAGTATGAAATTCTGTAGCTGAGATAACACTTCTGAAAAAGAAGGAGAGAAGAATCCAGTGCTGGAAAACTGAAGGATGATCAAGCCAAAGGCTCTACAGTAGAATGGAAACTATGGAGGATGATGTCACCTAAAACAGGGAATAGAGCTGAGAGTGAAGAGGGGGAAGGTGAGAGGAATAATATCTGTATTGTTAAAAAACCCCTTGCAGCCCCTGGTTTGCTTGGTGGACAGTAACAAAAAAGAAAAAAAACAACCTTTTTTTTTTAAAAAAAAAAAAAAAAAAACACCAAAAAAAAAACCACCCTTTTTTTTACTCTGAGTCTTCTGGACTTACAGTATGGAAATAAATCAGCTGCTCTAACCACTTGATGATGTTATTTTACATATATAGATATATCTTGGGTTTATTTGCATGGTGCTTTTGCTGAAGGAAAAAAAAAGCTGGGATTATTTTTCCAATGTGTTCCCTCAGTCCCTCCCAGCAGTTTGTGCCATTGATAGAAGAAATTAATAATGCTATAATGGGATTTTGTAGAGAACTTCCATTTTTTGCCTTCTACTTCCAAATACTTATTTAATCCTAGATTTCAGGAAGTGGGAAAACCCCCAGATCTCTGGTGGCCAAGTTTTCCAGAATGCTTTCAGAGCAAAGCACGTGGCAGCAAAAGGAGAAAAAGGCTCAGTGGCCATCTCTGTTCTTTAGGTAGAAATTAAAGTGCCACAAAGAGCTGTTAGCCCTGAGATAAAGATTGTCATCCTTTGGGAATCTCCAGAGACTTGGAGTTAAGTGTTATTTTTCACACTGCCTGACTTCAAGGGAACACAGTAAAACACAGGCTGATGTTTTCAAGTTCAAACATGCCACTGCTGTCACTGCGAGGTGTGAGCAGCACACAGCACAAACACCTCCCAGCCACTGCCTGGTGATTTTTGTAGGGGAAAAAAGCTCCAAAGATCCTAGAAATGGTTTGGTTTGAGGCACAGCCTTGGGGCTGCACTCATCTCAGGTGCTGGTGGCTTTTAGTCATTGCTGGTCCAATGTCCCCTTCC